ATACTACAGAGACTAACTCGTTTAATGCATATTATTATTAAATTCTGTGCAACTTTTTTTTTTAAACATTTTTGAATCTATAGTTTTCCGGAGTGGATATATTAATTGAATTAATTATTGTTTTAATTCACATGAAACACATAGTATAGTAATAAATACAAGTGTATTGCAATAGGTAAAGCAATGAAATCCATTATTGTTACCTATACGATCTCATAAAAATAAAATAATGCAAGTTGATTTAAAAGTACAAAACGGGCTTGCGAGTCATACAAATTGTTGTATTTATATCATTATATGATCGTAGGTACCTATCTATTGAAAACAATATGTTGTATAATTTATTTTTCCATACTACTTAAATCCCGATATAGTTTTTGTTATTGMAGTTCGTATGATATTAAATTTTTTAAATATTTGAAAAATATATATTGTATGTGCACCTTAAGCATAAATACAATATGTAATACGTGTAATAATTAATTACCTAGTGTGGTGAATAAGATAATTAGTTATTTCTACAAATTAAATTACATCAATTGAATTGAGATTACAATTATACTTTCTAAGTAGCAATTTAAAGAACAGCACTCCACTCTAGTACGGATCGTAAAACATTGAAATTCAATTTTTAAGTAGGTAATAACAATGTTCGGTGCATCGACCAGCTGTATAAATAAATAGAGCNATATTACAGGAACGATTTTTTTTATCATCCGATAATACCTAAACGGTGTGACACCATGTGTAGTTTTTGAAAATATTTTGACTGAAAGACTTTGTTTTATTTTTGTACAAAAACCAAAATTATTTTAAAAGTKACTATGCGTATTTGACACCTTTAATCCTTGGCTGTATACATAGATTATGTTATTATCGAAAAAAATATTCATTTTCCATTTTGGTAATTTACGACTGAACCCACATAATATACATAATAATATATATGTATAAATACTACAACTGTGATTCAATAACATAAAATTCGCATATTGTAAAATTTTCATTTGCTGATTATCAAATTCAAATTCATTTATAATTTATGGAACAAGTGATGATTATTAATAGTTTACATACAAACACAACCATATAATATTTCTTCAAAAGTACTCGAGAAAACAATAGATATTCTGCCCATGTATCTAAGTTTTAGTCTGCAATTACTTACTATTCGGAAATAAAAATCAATAATTACAAACATTCATTARTCATTATTTGTAATCAGATCAGAAAATGTCATGAAATTAGATATTGTTTATCAATTAATATACTGTTGGTAAATTTATTCTGTTGAAATAATTTATTTTCAAGTACATAAATGATGTTTACAGTTTTTCCCAACATTAAAAAAAATAAAATTATATATATATAATTTCTAACCAATACATACAATATGTTATAATTTATAGTCAATTAATTAACCAGAAGTATAATAAAATAGATTTTTAATTTGCAAAATATTAATATAATATGTGTATATTTTCTAAGAAAACCGAAACACGCAGTATAGTTAAAATGTATTGTAAGTTTGTAATATTATTTTATTTTATGAACGCGTTGTAAATAAAAACGTGTATATATTTTTATATCAACAGTAATCGTATGACATGGTAGGATATGGCATGGGTTGCAATTAATTATAATATTATAGACGGTTTGTGAACACGTCTCACTCGGCATTCACTGTCACTTAAAGAATATTGTAATACAATAAACAATGTACACCGTATAATAGTGTGTACCTATACATAATTTTTTGACTGGGAAACACAAAATACCGCTTCGTTCTAATAATTTAATGTAATGACTAATGATACATATATAACTTCCAATTCAGTATAGAATTAGGTATAGCATAATTAGACTTAATAATAAATCATAAATCATAAATTTAATATATTTTTTAACAGCGCGACTTTAAATATTTATCGATTGGTCAATGAATAATATTATCTAGTAAAATATGAAGAATTTTACTAAAGGAAAAACCAGTTTGAATGTTTGCATACAATCACTAGATCGAGATGTAGGTACATCTTCTTCCACGAAAGTACAAATCATTGAAATGCTTATCGACTCACTTTGAAAACAAACAAATAGTAAACAAAATAATACGTTTTATGTAGAATATTATACTGTTTAAATTAAATTAAATCAAATATTATACTTATGGTAAATACGAAAAAAATGTTGGGTTTTTGAATGTGACACGAGGTTTTTCAGTCAGTTCTCATGTGTTTASCTATATATTATAAGTAGGTATTTGTATAGAATTATATAAAATTCTACATTTTTTCAGAAATACAATAAATTAACAAAATGCATGGGAATTTTTAATGATAATTGCATTGTAGAATATTTTTTGAATGGATGATATATTTTATTTATTGGACTGTGAAGTAATATAACTGTAGTGATCTCGWCGCCTACAGGTGTCAAAAAACCAAAGATGATGAATAGGTGACTATTACATAATTCAAACAATTATTTAGGTTATTATAATATCAGTCGCGTCGTGTATGCCGACCAGTACGGAAGTACATCGCAGCAGGTCACTCCGTTTTYGCAGCTAACCCTGTCCCAGTGCGCGATCTCGCAATCCAGACACGTCCATGACCAACCGCAATGGGTCATGTGCGCTACGCTCACCTAGCAGTCAACCGAAGCGTTTCCCGGCCGCGCAATCGCAGAATCATCTATGCGGGACCCTATATAACCCAGCGCAYTGCGCTCTGAACGTCAGTTTCGCAGCAAGCATATACGAGTCAGTTGCTGGAGGACCTTGTCGACCCCRCCCTGCAGAGAATTGACGATTGGATGACGAACCACGGATTAGTTGACCCACCAATAAACGGAAGCTATTATCCTGTCCAGGAGACGCGTGTACATCTCTCCGAGGTTATCAATCTAAGGACACCCTATAGTCCTGTTTGACAGGTACCTCGGGGTGATCCTGGATAAGAGGCTTACCTTTGCGGCTCACGTGGACATCGTGGCTAAAAAAGCCGCGCGCGCAGCGGCTGCGCTAGCAAGGCACACGCCTAACATAGGTTGCCCCTGCGAATGGAAAAGAAAGCTGCTCAGCTCCGTGATCGACAGTCAGTTGCTCTACGGTCTACGCCATCCTTGTCTGGATCAGCAGGGTAGCTGTGGTAGCCAGGATCAAAGCGAACCTGATTCGTCCACAAAGATCGTTGGCTCTGTGAACCATCCGAGTGTACCGCACCGTCTCTGACGAGGCCTCCTTGGTCCTGGCTCCACGGTTCCCACCGATCTAGTCGGCCTGAAACGGGCCTGGATCCGGTCCCGACTCCTTGCTGACATCACGCCTGGTGATTCGTTGCCATCCAAGCAGATTGTGAAAAGAGAGGAAAGATCCCACCCTGTCGAGAGTGGCGACGGAGATGGGAAGTAACCAGGAAATCGTCCTAGACGCGATCCTGCATCACATCCTCCGGACGTTGTCTGGGAAGAACGGTCCCGCTAGTGCCCCTGACGTTCCGCTTGTCACAGGCACTAACGGGACATGGCTGATTCCAGTAATATCTCTACAGGASAGCCATGGCCGCCAATCTGATATGTCAGCATTGCAGGGGCGGCGAGGACACGGTGGAATATACTCTGTTTGAATGCTTCTACTGGAACGCCCTCCGTGAACCTCTGTCCATCCAGCTAGGGCGCAAACCGYGTTCAGCCGAAATACAAGACATAATTTTTGGACCGACATTTGACCAGCTTCCAGCAGACCCGGATGAAATGTCAGGTATATTAAGGTACGCGTAGTGGTCATTACGTCTGTTCTATGGAATGGTCGAACACATCTACTCACTCAAAGAAGAAGAGGAGCGAGTCCGCCRGGCTGTGGAGGTGTAGCGGTGAGATCCTGACGCAGAATCCGGACATCTATCTAGTTGATAAGCAATTTACTGTAGCCGAAGTCACCTAGGGAGGCAGAGCCTCCCAGTATTGTACCCACAACATTAAAAATGTTGTAATATTAGTGATTGGGGGATTGTCCCACTGCTAATAATTATTGTCGATGTTATTGTTATCAATAAACGATGGGAGTCAGAAGAGAAGTAATGCTAGCGTGGTTCCTTCTCTGGCTCTCGATACAAAAGAAAAAAAAAGGTTATTATAATATAGATATAAATGTATTCATTGACACAATTGTAAAGTAAACTTATTTTATTCAAAACAGGAGACTTAAATAATTCAATCAGTGAAAATATTTTAAGTGTCTAGAAAATATTCGATTTGACTCGTTTATTTTCTAAGTCAAAATATTATACAGAACAAATTATTCTAAATCCAAACTAATTAATCAGAAAACAAACTAGCGTGAAAGTGCTCTGGTGCTCTTCGTCAAATCACGTCTGAATACAGTCGGTTYCGGGGGTCTCTTATATATTACTACCMTCTACTCCTCATAGTCCATGTGATATCATTTCTGTTCCCACGGATGCTGGTAACCACCAACTATCGACGGAAATGCCGACTACGCTCGAGGCAAATGTGCATCCCGTGCAGATGCATTACCAATAGTTACATTAATACTAATCATTATGTCAAAATATTCATCTTCTTACCAACAATGCGGGACGCTAGTCCATAGCATAACTATGTCTATTATACATTTTATGTGTCTAAGTATTATTAGATACTCATCAATTTATTGTGTTAATTAACGCATCTCCTCCAAAAATGTATTATGAATCAATTTAGTTAGATGTACGATATTTTGGACACCTTAATGGTCGAACACCTTTTCGTTTTTATATGTGAAATACCAAATAAAAGTACCTGATGGAATAATTAAAAGAATTATAAAATATTTTAATTTAATGTTTTAAATACCATTTAACCTTAAATAAAAAAAAAATACACATATTATACAATATAATATGATTTACAATKTTCTATCCGAATTTATATTATATTATATTGTATGGTGACTCATTGGTCATTATAATATAAATTGGTTTCCTTTCGTTTTCCAGGAGAGTTTCCGTTCGCTCCTGTATACTGTCTAGCATGGATATGTCTGGATGTTTTGTTCTGCACTGCCAGYATAATGCACTTGTGCACGATCAGCGTAGACCGTTATTTGAGCCTGAGGTATCCGATGAAATTTGGCAGGAACAAAACGCGGCGAAGGGTGATACTGAAGATCGTGTTCGTGTGGTTGCTGTCGATAGCGATGAGTTTGCCACTAAGCCTAATGTACTCAAAAGTAAGTTTTCAAAGTAATATGTATATTGCATAATATTATATACGTGTTTATTATTATGRTTATATTATTATACGTCATGAATTTGTGGTTTCCTTTCTTAGAYCGTCGCATCCCATTAAACTTTCAACTACTTACTTTTTTTATTTATCGACCACCATCCCTTCATACCACTGTGTTCATAATGATATACCACCACCCTACTAAAACTATATCACTATATCGTGGTTTGTCGTCGGATTTGGCTTTACGATGACAATATACCCAGAGGTGGTTTAATTTTCGATTAAAACTCGTCGCAAAACTTACATTTTAAAGATATTCCACTCGACGGGATACTAAAATCGGTTGATATAAAATCAAAATGACATACTGCAGGTCAGTGAATGGAATAGAGGAAAATTATGGGTGTGCGGGGAAGTAGTCATGTRMGATGTAATATTTTTCCACCACCACTAAACTTATAGCTTCAGTGTTGTACACGCACGTAATGGTTACGTTTAAAATATAACTGAAACGTGAAACACAATAGTAATATAATTTCTTGTTCAAAAATTTGGTTATAGCCTAGGGCTCCTGAAAAAAGGGACTACCAAAAAAATATTATGGGCTTGCAGCTTTTCTACAATTATAGCTAAGCAATTTAAAAAAAATGATTTTGACAACATTTATTTTAAGATACATTCTTATTAAACATTTTAAATAATCGTCTATGACAAGTGACTCCCGTGTTATTGAACTAGATAGGTAAATATAAGGTGTAATTATATACATCAAACTATTTTAAATAAGGAAAAAAGTTTGAAGTCTATACTTCMTTTGTTATTATAGATAAATTGGTTTCTATGAAATTGACAGAACACTAAATTATAATCTTATTCTTTCTCAATTAAAATCTTTAGTTAACTGTAAAAATGATTATGTAGGTACCATACATTAATTCATTAAATAACTGTACCCATTTAGTTTTACCATGGCAGTCTCGATGATAACTTGAAAACAGAAATATCTAATTTTTATCATTATATCAAAATGGTTTCTTCAGAAATTTACAATTGTGGTGGTATACCAAAACTTATGCATGGACTAAATCTTATTGATGATTTTCCAAATATATATTGCATTTAAATTATACCTGAAAAATTATAAAGCAGAACGTTAATTTATAAGTAGGCCCAAATTAAAAATCGACTAAGTTCTATACAGATTGAATATAGATTGAACGTATTAAAAATATCATATCAATTGAAAATAGTTTAATATGTAAAAAAAAATTTTAATTTGATAACGTTTAAGATACTTTTGTATCAAGTGAATCTAGAAAAAAAATATTTTAAAAACCATTAAATTGTATTTTTTAATAAATTAACTATGTTTTGTAAATTTTATATCTAAGGGAAAATATTTTTCTTATTTAACTAATAAGTATCACTTGGCTTGATATTATTATAAAAATATTATTTTTTTATACATAAAATTAGGGCTTCCCAAAATAAATTAGCCCACAGCGACTTGTTTCATTAATCCAGCTCTGTCAATTGGTAACAAATAACCTAATATGCAATGATTACACTATTAATAGCGGGTAAATCACTATTAAATAACGGTTTTATTAGTATTATTAATTATGCATTTATATTATTATATGRATGTAGTAGTATCTAGTATATTGTCCTCTTGAAATATTATTTTCAAATCAAACACTCAATTTGGAATTCGATATCTAAATATCGAATATCTTTTTTTCATATTCACTCCATTTAAAAATACACACATATATACAAATATATATTATATGTATTATAATATTTAAAACAATACTTACTAGCATTAACATTAGAATAGTTTTAAAAGGGTKAGGRTCAAAAAGCAGAATACATCAAAAATAAAAACTGTTTCGAATATCTGATTCAGTGAATAAAGATTTTACTAAAGTATATTATATTATAATGTACATTTTTAAGAAAGTAAACTTTACATTAAAAGTTTACAAAATATTTGTTTTTATAATATTCGACTGAGAAACCAAGCCGAGAGTAAAAATAATCTCATCGAAAGTTTGCATTTTTAAGTGATCATCTTTGGATCAAAAAGTTTTAAAAGAACATTATACGTAATATTATGACTTATTTAAAATAATTTAAAATTTATTCCGATTGAGCTAAAGTGTTTATTTTGAAATATTCATATTGATTTCTGTTATTTCTAAGAGCAGCATATACGTCAAACTGTATACAATATAGGGATACTTACACCTATATCTGGATCAGCAAAATTGGAAATAGCGTACACCAAAAATTAAAAAAAAAAAACAAATTTAGGTTGAAGTCATGAAATTAAAAAATATATAATAACTGTGAACATTTCGATTTTTATATATTAATAGCTGTCCCGACACGGCGTTGCCCGCGTATTAGTTTGTTTTTTGGCATTTTCGTAGGCCGTGTATGGTGTAATTACTTATTAGTTAGAGAAAATAATTTTTTTTTTTTATTTGTAGTTTATTAGTGGTTTTGGAGATCATAGCGTATAGTAAACTATTGAGAATGTCAAATTAATATTCATATAATGTCACTAATAATAATTAATAACCCTCGGGATTAAAGATAGAACATAGTCTGCAATGAATGAGTAAATTACAAAGTTCTTTATTGATAACATAAACAAATATATTTTTATAAATGATATACATTTTAAACTATTTTTATTGATTTTACAATGATTTTTTTTTATTGTAAGTGTGTGGGAATGTCGTATACTGGTATATGACTGAGAGATGAATGGAGCACTGTGAAAGATGACGGCCCATAAAAATAACAAAACACCAAATATTAATTTTTTTGAATTCATTGTATTTTTATATCTTAATTAATAAATTTAAAATTATATCTCTATAAAAAAAAATATTGTCAGTCTCTTAGTGCGATGGAGTGTACGATATTTTTAGTAAATCCATCTTTAGCCAACACAAACAAACTGGATGATTTTGAGGGAACATGCCACGTATAATTTTCCGTGTGAAAAACACGGTATGCCYAGATCTAAGCCACAAACAGTCATCGTCTGGCCTTAAGGCATATTGATTGTTATTGCGAATGCCAATCTGATTGGAAATTGAACCCGTTTGAATTCAATTGGGACATCTGTAGTGATAATAGGGATTCGTGGTAGTAATACATCTTCTCCGCGAATCTTGCYATTCAAAATGTTGGCTTCGATAACGTTTTTCATCAATTTTTTAATAACTAATCGCGTGCCATTGCACAGCCTTGGTRGGTTCAAATTACGTAGCAAAATAATAGGAGATCCAACCTTCAGTTATAAATGGTCTGGCAAATCCAATGAGTTCAAAAACTCTGCTGGATAATTTACAATTCTATTGGTATCGCAAACTGTATCGATAGATTTGTATAACACCAAGTTCCCTGGCAACAACTGTTGTATCTTGAAATTCAAATCGTTGACGTCCACATTTTTTGCAGCCAAAATCGCTCTTTCTGCCAGCCACTCAAGATTCAAGTATTTTATGTGTATATCGGGAAATATCTGGTCAATAAGTTCATCTTGCGAATTAATGATTGTGCAGAAATCGGTCGGTAATTAATTAATTAATTAATGTACAAAATACACAAATCGATACAATTAAAGTTCATATTAAACTAAATAAATAAATTAATGTTTATAAATATGGAAATACGWCAGACGACAGCGGCGACAACGGCGCGCGGCAGCTAATCGGTCAGTGTGGCCATTGATTAAATATATTATGAAACATCGATTAAATATAAAAAATAAAAAATAAAATAATAATAATAATTTAATATGTTTGGTAACCAATGGCAACTCTATAAAAAAAAAATTGTCGTAGGTTAAAAAAGATCCCTGTATGAGCCACCCTTTAAAATAAAATAGGGATGTGAAAAATAGTTAACATCACTCTCTGAGACCTACTTAATGTACACAACAAATTTCATRAAAATCGGTCCAGCCGTTTCGGAGAAGTTTGGTAACAAACATTGTCAAACGAGATTTTTATATATTAGATATATCTTATAAAACTGCGTTAATTTCGATCATWAATATCAAAACTAAAAATCTATTAATAATAATTTATTATTTAGAAATATTTTGTTGGCTTCCATCACTGGTTAGCCTTCCTCCTCATATTCTTCATGTTTAAATTACCTAATATATTTGCTTACTGTGTTATTCCGAGTAATTTTCAATATATATTGTAAATATACTTTAATAAAAAAAAAAAATATTTATATTTTAGAAAAACTATATGTTCATATTAAATACAATTTGTATTTCAAAAAATAAACACAACAATAATTTGATGTCACATTTATAAAATATTCTATCTTAAAATAAAATTCTAACTCAAAACATACCATTATATATATTATCAAAATATTAGAATTGACATTTTAATGCCACAGGCCCACAAACATAACCAAAAAAAATGTTATCGCTTGAAAATTKGTATTAATTTATATCTAATAAATAATATTATAATAGTATAAAGATAAATAATATATCGAAACTCATGTTATTTTGAAATCAGAACACAATAATATTATGTTACAGTATAAAAAAGAACATTTTAATATTCTAAATATTCTCATACAAAAGCTAAGGTGATTTTTTATTTTATTATTTAAATATTCATTTAAATTTTCAAAGTACATCTTCATGAACCTCAAAAATGTAAATACTGCTTAGAATTTATTGAAACCCATTTCTAGCTTGAAAATGTTCGTGTTAAGTATTTAAAAAAAGTGACACCAATATATTAAAAATCGAGCTCCCATTACGTTCCACTGACGTTCTCTCGTCACTTTTCAAGACTTGTTTTTTTTTCCTTTTTAATAATTAATAAGTACTTCGATTCAAAAACGTGAACTTAACCAGTAGCAAACGGTGCACCGTGGTTATAATGCTCAGCATAGCTATAAAGACACGATATTATTATTGCCATGTACCTACGTTTAAATTGAAGTCAAACGGCTGCTGCTGCTACATTCACTCGGTGAATATAAATCGTTGTCGTTGAGAGTCCTCAGACATAGCAATGCGCTTGTACAGTGTGTTTTAATAGATTCAGCATTCCGTATTCGTTGGTATTTAGATAGTGCTCGGCGTTCATAGTTTAATTTGTTTATTTTGAATCGTCCAAAATTCGTTACGTTCTTCAAAATGTCGCATTTATTATGCCACGCTCCCATATGTGTTATACAGGTATTAAGCACGAATGTCGATGGTATCACACTTTAGCCACTTAAGTCGAGCGCATCACATTTTTTAATAATTCAGTATTCATATTTTAAACGTGTAATATTTAATTTTTAAAATGATTTCATTTAGAAATATAATATTTAAAAAAATAACTATTTTTAACAAAATAAAATAAGATAAAATATTAGAATAACTAATTTTAGCATAATATGACGTGTATGCTTACTGCTTAACCACCAAACCAGTGGTGCAAAGTTTTTTTTTTTGTGTTAGTGTTTATGAATACATTATTAAAAATAAGAAATACGATATTGATTGCTACTTTCTGTATATTATAAAATTGTGTGCATAACTGTTATCCACTTCAGAACGAGCTGCATAGTATTGTGAATCGTTTGACGGAAAACATAACTCATGATTTTATCCCAGTCGTCCAATTACATTTTTATTAACTGAAAAATAGATCCCATGTGGAACATATTGTAACGAAACGACACTGTTGTAGATTT